CAATGGGCCCAGGTGAGTTTACTAAGAACCGGTATTTACCCATTTAACTTATATTGTTTATAAATTAGCACGGTAGCCTAGCTCGGCATTGAGATGACGTTGAATATCTTGGTTGAGCGTGCAAAGGTGTGCCTAGCCAACCTAGTCAAAGTCTGCAAAGTGGAGAATAAAAAGTGTTAAGCCCAAATCACTGGACCGGGCTAAGCAAGAAAGCAAAATAAATATAACCCTAATTCAGCTAAATGGGTTACAACCCGTTCTTAGTTCGGTTGTAGCACAAGTTTTAGCTCGGCTATTGAGCAGGAAGGTTCTTAGATCGGTCGTGGCACAAGAAGTGACTCAAGGTTTTTAGCTCAGTTACTAGGTGGGCTTTTCTAGTCCGGTTGAGTACGCACCTATCACAAACAGGTTCCTAACTCGGTCGTGGTGTTTTTTTGGATCGAAAAGATTGCATTTCAGATTGAGTAGAGAATTCCGCTATAGTGTGGTTGAGGTCGGGGTATGTGGTTTTTGGGGATTTAGTGGTCCTTACCCATTTATGTGAAGACCACAGGAGTGCGTTTTGAAAAACATATGTATATATATATTTCTATAATATATATATATACTCACGAAATGACAGAAAAAGAAAGGATTGAGCCACTTACAGTTTTAAAAATGAAAGGAAGAATATCAATGCAGTGAGGATGCCAGCTAGAACGCCAGTTTTGTAGGTGCTATGGTCGTGAGTATGGATACTCAGAAAGCAAGGAGAGAAGATGAACAGTGGAGTGTTTGATTCAAAAGTGGGGTTTTTTGTATAAAGCACAAGAATGGATGGGATTATTCAAATTTTCGGAGTACGAAGGCGGTTGTGACAGCTGTACTTGACCAGTGGGAGCCAGCCACGTGTCCAAGGGAATAGATAACGATTAGACGTGCTTGGGAGATGGAATGATGTGCAGGGCAATTGACAAGATGTTTTTGGACCGGGCAAATCGGTAGCCTGGTAACAAATAAGCTCGGTTCGAGGTTTGGAACTTTAGCTCAACTGGTAACAAGTAATCCCAAATCATGCGTTGCAGATGGGATTAAGAAGCAATTGAGAGAGAGATTTTATGTGAACTAGGGCCGAGCTAGGCCCAGACAGTGTAATGGACCGATCTGTGGGCCGTGGTGAAAAAGGCTTCGCAACTGGACCTTGTTTCTGATAGGTCGGTCAAAAATGGTTGCAATTAGTTCGGTCTATGTATTCCAAACAATGACTGAGCTAAGCATCGCACGTGAAAGCGCTGAGCTGAAGGTTAAAGATAGCTCAGTTGTGCTGTTATTCTACCGTGGTAAAACCATCTCACTTGGTTAAGCAGTAAGGAGGGGGTGGAATGATAAGCATTATCTTTCTAACTCCTGGAAGGACTCTACTAAGGAGAATAGAGTCCTACTAGGAGTGTGCAAACCATCTCATTTGGTTGGTAGTGTGTGGGGTGTGTGATTCCTAGGAAGATTCTAACGAGGAAAGTTGGAATTCTACTAGAATTATGCCGGGCAGAATCTATAAAAGCTTATAACAAGACTTATGTACAGGTATCACAATTTTGACTCTTAAATAGATAGAGCTTTTGTCTATTGTCTATTTGCTGACTTAGGCATCGAAGAGATATCCGGCACACACCCGCCGGCTAGCTCACATTTGTGTTTTCAGGGAGTAAAGCGACGACGTTTGGAGGAATGCAAACTTGATTAATAGGATTATACGAGAAAATTATTTCATGCTTGTACATTAACCAACTCTACTTCACAAGTTTCATAATAATTAATGACAATTTATGTCAATGCTCAAAGTTACTTTAAAAATAACTTTCAAATGATTATTAACAAAATAATAATCAACACAAAAGATTCCTCAATGTACTTCCAATTAAATAGAATGACACCACTGTTTAAACCATCATGTTTAAACTTCTCTAGTGTTAATGATTGCTTGTTTGAGATGACTTAAATAAGTGTACTTTTTGTCTTTTTACGAAAACATGTATAGAAAAGTAGAGAGGTGATGTGATAAAAAAAAGATAAAAATATAGATTATTTGGGACTTCCCAAACTTGGCCTAATATTGTAAGAATACTACTACCACATTCAAACAAAAAATTATTTACACATAAAATATATTTTCCACATAATACTCTAAAAGAGATCCATTGATGATGTTCATCATCACAACCACAAATTAATTAAAAATTTCACAAACTTTTAAATAAAACTTTATCTAAATTTTTGACATAAATTAGTCAAAAAATTAACACATCACGTAATATTTCATAAAAAATTCATAACAATATATGACGTCATAAAATCTCATTGCAAATTAATTAAAAATGCTAAAATTAATACGTGGGTGTAAATGTCATCAATAGTATGATAAACAATTACTGACTGAGTCAACAAATCTATTAAAAGTAAATTGAGTTACATCTACTCTACACATACATACAATATGCATCATATACATCTTATTTTGTTCACAATTAAATATCTTGAATAAAAATTTATTTTATTTGGTGTCATACCTAGTGAAACAGAGAAACAAAACGCCCACATGAATACATGCTAAGACCACAAACCAAATAGCAAACAAATCAAGACTCAAAGGAACTATAAAATATGCGTAAAAAATAATAAACATACATATGTAGCAATTGTAACAATTTCTCTAATCATATGAATATAATATTCTATAATTGCATGTGCCAATAAAAAGTAACAAAGAAGTACCAATTCAAGTCTCATGTATCAATAGAAAGTAACCACAAAATATCGGTTCAAGTCTAACTATATTCAACAACAATAATAGTAAAACAAAAAGAACAACATATGACATATGAAATACCAAAATTGTGATTATCAAACCTGATACACAGATTATACAATAAAATATGTCGTAAAATGAATTCAAAATCTATGTACAAAAATCACAAATAAATTTTGATATTTTAAAAATCTGTGCTAATGAAATAAATTCACACATCAACAATTAGGAAATAAAAATGCATTCAGAACTAGTAATTAAAATATTCTATATAATGAAATTATGATCATCAATAAGCTAAGCTAGCACCGGTTCACAAAACCTTTTCCTTCAAAAGGCCCAATTCTAATATGTTTTCTTCCTTAACGATGGTTTAAAGAATTAACAAATCAATGTCTTGCCTACCGTGATAATAGGAAAAAACAGATGTAATAAGTTAATAATCTATATAAACCAGGATTTTACCGATCAATAACTATTTTGTATAAAACAAAATACGAATTTGTTTTAAGATTGGGAGAATAATCTCTTATGTGTACGGTGTGAAACACGTAATCATTGCATCAAATATATTATTAAATTATATAAAAAAGATGAGTTGAATATAACGTAAATTATTTGGGTAAAACTAAACCAAACTATATACAGAGAACTAGAAATACTTACAGATATAGAAAACTTACAAATAGATTGTAAAATCTGGAAACAAAACCAAATGTGATCGAGACTTATGTTGGATACTATTTCCTTAAGACAAATTCATCCATCGCTATGGTGCTCACGAGTTTTTATTGGATGTTCGTCTCCCAAGATACAACGATCAAACCTTACAGAAACAACACTACCACGGTAAGTCTGATGAACCTTACCGTGCAGAATTCTCTTACAGAAAAGACATAGTGCGGAAGGAAAGAAACACAAGATGAATTACATGCAAAATGAATGCAATGGGAGCCTGTTTATATAGATGAATTGGTGGTTCTTTGAATGGTTATGGTGACTTTTCAAAAGAGTCACCTTTATTTCATGAAAAAGTGCAACTAAAAAATATAATTATTTTTTTTAAAGAATTTGAATTCTGAATCGAATCCTATTCAATTTTGACTCAAAAAATTAACAAATTTATCTAAATAAAATTAAATTTTAAATTAAATAAATTTTGTTTCAAAACCATTATCAAATGGTGCACTTTGGAGTCAATTTCTCATTTACCTATTAATGGTTTTCAAACCATTTTTTTTAACAAAATTACCTCTCTACTTTTTTGCATATTTTTTTTCAAAAAAAAATATTAAAAAAAATAACTAAAATGTTAGCTTTTTTTTTGCTTTCCAAAATAGGCCAATGTATAGGATGTGAGAGAAGAAGAGAAGAGAGAAAAAAAGTGATTAATTAATGTGTAATAGAGAGAAAAATAATTTTAATTTTTTTAAAAAAATTAACCAAACAAAGTTTTCAATTTTTATTTTTTAAAATATCTGTCAAAAACAAACCAAGCAAGACGTTAATATTTTAGGGAGAATTGGTCAAAACTCCTTTATAATAAAATTTTAATGTATTAAGGACAAATGCAAAAAAAAAATTCTTTAAAAATCCAACACATGCTATTATTATCAAAATATTAAAATTTAAAATTATATAATTTTTGATATAGATATCAGTTTTTAATAAAATTAGTATTTTTTAAAATTTTCTCATCAAGATCTATTAAATAAAATCCATGTTGACTATGAATTTTTTTTTTAAAAAAAATATTACCGTCGAAATTGATGTAACCAATAACAATAACATGTTACTCTATTTGATAGTAAAATATCACTCTATCTCACAGTAAAATGTTATTTTGTTTGACAGTTACTCCGATTCACAGTAACAAATTACTATGATAATATTATTAAAGAGAAAAAAAAAGATGATATTTTACTTTTTTATTATTCAATTATATATTTTCTTTTTAAAAAATTTATGAAATAAAATAAATTAAACGATTTTTTTTACCAAACAAAGGTCTAATACTGAGATTTTGACTAAATTTTTTAATATTTTATTTCAACAAATCCAAACTCATATCGTAATACAGCCGTAACAGCAATTAGGCAAGAATATAATTTTTGATTGGAACAAGGTGAGAATTTAACGGGACTTTTTTCGGTAAGAGTCTATGGACAGCAAAGTCAACAATGCCTAGTCTTCCATTTTTGCCCCTTTCTTTTTGTTTTTTGCCGAAGACTCACTCAACTCTCTCTGAAGACGGTTACGAAAAAGAAAACACAAAGAGTATCGCCCATTAATTTATCATCTCAAATCTTTATTTATTTCTTTACGATTGTTTTATGGTCTCTCTCTTTGTTTCTTTTTCTCTCTAACTAGAACTATTGTTTGTATATTCAATTGTTTGAGCAAACGAACCCAAATCAAGTAATTTCTGGAGGTTCTTCAGAGTCTTTTGAATCAGTAAGTCAAAATCCTGAAATACCCAACATGTGTTTTTTGCTTTTTTGGCTTTCTGTGTTTTTTTGAAGTTTTGTTTGTTCAAATTGAATTCTTGTTTTTGATGATGTAGGCTATAAATTTGGGGGAGATTCATGGTGTTTTGAGATGGGTTTTGTGTGAAAATTCTATCAGAGGACAGCAAGTGGTAGATGTAAGAGTTTATGCTTTTTTTTTGCAAATTCTTTGATGGACAAGTTTGCCTGCTTTAATGCTGTCTGTGTTCAGGTAACCTTCTCATCTATTTGTTGTTCTTCAGTGATTTATGTTTGCTGATATGGAGTTTTAGCACAGGGCGTGAATAAAATTGGGTTATTGCAATTAGGGGATGTTTTGTTGTGCTGGATTTCGAGGGTTTTCGTATACATACATATTATCTAACCCCAGGAAGGGTTGACATCAGGGCCATTAGGAGCTAAACCCAACATTCTGAGGTTGCGTTTGGACATCCAATGGTCACACTTTCACCAACTAAAATTGGTATTAAGAAAAGTTGGTGACTTGATCATATTTCTTGGTGTAGAATCCTTTCTAGATTTCAATGAAATGAAGAATTTTTAAAAAAGAAAAAAGAAAAAGAATGGAATAAAAGAAACTTTATAACTAGGATTTGCTCAGTTTTTGCATTATGGTCTTGTTCTAGCATAATGTGTCAGTAGTATGATCTCTTGGTTTATCCAAAAAAAAAAAAGTGTCAGTAATATGATCTCAATTTGTAAGATGACAGCCATTTCACTAGTGGCTCCATTCAAGATGTAAGGTTTTTACCTTGAAATGGTATGCAAAATGTCAATGGAGTCGTTCATTTTTCTGGTACATCCAAATGGTGGTCCCAATAACCCTAAAATTCCATCACATTGAATGTAAGGTAAATATTAGAATTAAAAAGCGTTACAACTCTGGGATTGGCTATGTTTGTGCACACAAATTCTGATAGGAATGAATAAGTCGTGATTATAATCGCAACATTTCTGCAGTATGGCCTCTCTTTCCTTAAAGCATATAATGAGATCACTTTTTCATCCTGTTAGAAAAAGATATAATTTCAATACACAAAATCTTACTGTATTAATTTTCATATAAAGTTAACCTCACAACTCATTTCCTTGAAAGAAATATTGATGGCTTGATGTAATGTTTTTGTTTTAATTTTTTTTCCTGATATTGCCTCATTTGACTGGTTTTCGATAAATTGGGAGGTTAGTGTGTAGGAGTGAATTCATCATATAGCTCTGGTAAGGGAAGTAGCCATGAGAGTCAAATCAAGTATGGTTTCAGCCTAGTGAAAGGAAAGGCTAATCATCCAATGGAGGATTATCATGTCGCTAAGTTCACACAAATACAAGGACATGAGCTTGGGCTGTTTGCTATCTTTGATGGCCATTTAGGAGATGGTGTTCCTGCCTACCTGCAGAATAACTTGTATGACAACATCCTTAAGGAGGTGGGGTGATTCAAAACTGAAATAAATTGGTTGCATATTTGGTTTAGTTTCATAAAAACAAAAAAATTGATGCTATATTACACTTGTGTGTTCAATTGTTTTAGGAAGAGTTTTGGACTGACCCAAGAACATCTATCTCAAAAGCCTATGAGAAGACCGACCAAGCAATTCTTTCACACAGTTCCAACTTGGGAAGAGGTGGGTCTACTGCTGTTACAGCAATTCTGATAAATGGCCAGAGACTGTGGGTAGCCAATTTGGGAGATTCACGAGCTGTTCTTTCAAGAGGAGGTCAGGTAATACAAATGTCTACAGATCACGAGCCTAGCGTGGAACGAGGCATGATCGAGAATAAAGGAGGTTTCGTCTCAAACATGCCAGGTTATTTGTAAAAACCATTGTTTTATAACCCATTGATAAAAAAAGTTAGCTTTTTGGAATTTAAATGTGGATATCACTATTCTCTTTTTCAGAATCTATTTAGTGGTTAGTAACTTAAGATCTACTTATCACATTTGAAGTGAGGCTGTGGCGTCAAAATTTTTATTTGGGTTTTAAGTGTGTTGCAGAACTTATATCTGTAGGTAGGGATTCTGATAAGCAAACGAATTTGAAGTTTCTTATCCTCTCTATGCCACCCTACTAGCTTCCAAATAGCTTTGTTAAGAATAGGAATTTGATTATTATTATTTTTTAGACTTTTTATTTGTTTATTTCCGAAGAGGATATATTGCATTTTGATAATATATAGGATCTAGAAATTCTTTATTAAGTATCTTAAACATAGTTCTAATTCCAAATACAGTACAACCAAACCATAAAATGACTCTTTCTGTGGTTCAAACTAGAACTAGTCCATCTTGACAGAAGGTGGTGCAATCACTTTAAATGCACCAAAAACATAAAAAATGAGAAATAAAATGAAACGAAACTGTATGTATACACTTTAGTTTGTTTTAATTCATTATCTCCTGAAACTTTGAGGTTTATTATTTTTTGATTTTTTGAATTAACTGATTTGCTAAGAAGCACGGACACTTCTAAAAAGGTGGCGTGTCCGTGTCGGACACCGACACTCATCAGACACCCTTCCGACACGTGTCCGACACTCATCCAAACATGTCTTGATTTTTTATAAAGAATTTAAAACTTGGACACTCTTCGGACACTTAAGGACATGCGTGTCCATCGACTAGACACACGAAACTAATTATAAATTTGAACAAAATAACTTAGAATAAGATGATAAAGGAAAAATAATGTCAATTTATACAAATTAGTGTTATAATGTATTTATTTATTGTCTTAGAATGATATGTTCATATATATGACATATAATAAATATATAAAATTATATATTTTGTCCGTGTCCCCCACGTGTCGTGTCCTACATTTTTCGAAAATTGCCGTGTCTGCGTGTCTGCGTGTCCGTGTCGTATTCGTGTCGTGTTAGGTGTCCGTGTCCATGCCCGTGCTTCTTTGTTGATTTGTCTTTTTGAAAAGTAGTTGTTGTTATTCTACTTAGTAATCATTGGCTACATTACACAGACTCGGGTGTAGGTATTGGGTGTGGGTGCATATCTAGGGGTCGGACACTTAAAAATTAAAAATTAAAAATTAAAAATTGAGAACACGTGGATATGAATCCAAATTTGGATACGGATATGTGGATATGTTAAATAGTTATTTTTAAAATATATTTATTATATGAAGATGAGTTTAAAAAAGTTAAGAAATAATAGATTCTGTTAAAAAATTAAAAATTAAAAATTAAAAATTATATTAGGTATAAAATAAATTATACTATATATATAATTTAATTTGATATATTATATAAATTATATATATATAGAGAGAGAGAGAAGATGAAGATCGTAGACCTAATCGCAGGGATGCCATCTTTCTTCTTCGTTTGCTATATCCACTTTCTCCATGCCGTGTCCTGGTCGGATTCTATACCCCTACCCGTGTTGTGTCGACATGGGTACTTCACCAAATCTGACGAGTCCGTGTAACGTAGATCATTGGTTTTATGTTCTAAATTTTGATCTTCATTTTTTAGCAGGGAGATATTTCTCTTCTGTCTTTTTTGTTCCAATCTAATACTTTTATCATTCATGAAGATGTAATACAAGCATTATATCTTGTTATTTAAGAGGGACTAAACTTCATTAGTACTTATAGTACTTGTAGAAGTACAAAGGGTTGGTTTGGAGTGTCCTAAAAAAGTGCACTTTTTGTCTTTTTACGAAAAGATGTGCAGAAAAGTATAGAGGTGATGTGATGGAAAAAAGATAAAGAGATAAAAAGATGGATTATATAGTCTATGCCAAACCAGCCCAAAGTTTGTGTACTTTTCCCCATCTAAAACTGCTGAAGTGAACTGACTAGATTACCCATATGAAATTTATGCAACATGCATCTTAATCAAAAAAAGATGCAGCATGATCCAATATGCAATAAAGTGAATTAGGCGTAATCAACGTTTTAAAAAGCGACCGCAACCGTTACGTAATGCCGTTACGTAACGGTTTTGGCGGTTACCGCCACCTGTTACGGCCGCTTTTGCAGTGTGATTGAGATTCATAGGTGTGTTGGCCGTAGCGGCTGCCGTAACAGTCGTAACGGTGTCGTAACAGCCGTAACGGCATGTTACGCACCGCTACGTAACAGTTCCAAACTGTTTCTTTTGAAAAAACATACAAAAAAAAGCTGAAAATAGAGGAAGAGGGATAGAGAAAAGAGCAAAGATAAAGAGAGAAAATAGAGGAGTAAGAGATAGAGAGAGAAGAGGGAAGATGAAGAACATGTTATTGATTTGTTGAAACTGTAAGACCTATGCTATTCTATTCAGGTGCTATTATTCAACCATTTTATTTGTGTATGTCTATCTATATATTGTTTGAAAATAATAATAATAATAATAAGTGTGGTCATTGTAACGCCCTCAAAATTAACCCATTATATATCATTGACATGCGTTATTTAAAAAAGACAATTTATTAATTCATTCATCAGAGTATTACCAAATAAAGTATTACATGTAACATCGGATAAAACGCCCTACAGGCTTACATCTTTCCAAGCCAACACTTGGATACAAAAATATGAGTTCTAACTCAACAAAAGAAAAGCCCTAGGCTTGAATGTTTACATGTACTAATAATTAAAGACAATTAACTAAAGGTAGTCTTCTCCAATCCAGAAGCCAAACCCTCCCAAGCTAAGTCCTTGGAGGTAGTTTATCACCTGAACCTGAAAATGATGTTCCCATAAGCTATTTAGCTTGGTTAAAATATGTATATATATATATATATATTTAGGCTCTTATTTATTCTCTTACTTTTGTCATTGTTTATCTTATATATAATAGTTAGTGATTGATTTTTTGTATAATATAAAGTCATTAATTATTAAAATAAAATGTAAAAAACTCAGTTTATAGTGATTTAAAAATATGAAATATATTGCATCATACTTAAAAATTTACAAAAATTGATCAATATTTATTTTTAACCCAATAAATATGATCATGGAAAAAAAATATGCGTATCGGTAAGTTTTTTTCAAATTGTGCGAAAAATAAAAAAATTCACGGTTCCGGTTACCGCAACCGTTACACTACCGCCTTTACACCCGCAACCACAACCGTGCCACCACCACCGTTACGGCGACCGCAACCGCTTTTCAGAACCTTGGGCGTAATTTTCATCAACTGAATGAAAGGCATATTGCAGTAAGTGTATGCTACTTTGCTACCATTTTGTCATGCAAATTATCAATTGAATTTAGAATATAAGCAGTTTATTTGATAACTCAAACTTTAGGCTTTAATCTCATAAAAAAGGTGCTTTTGTTACTTATCAAGAAAAGGTGTTTAGATTCAACATACAGATCGAAATCATTTTTTGGTTTATTAGGAAATCCATATTTTCAATTCTTCAGAATTTCTGTCATTCATTCTTGTCTTTTAAGGTGCCAACATTTTGTTTTAATACCCAAGGCTGTTGTGTAATGGGATAAGTTGCTTATTTTGCTGTCACCTTTTATCCATTAAATGGATCAGCTTCAAAAAGGTTTTTTTTCCCCTCCTATTAATAAGTAACTATTGTAAGAAAAATGATATACAAGCCCATTTTTTAGATCCATTTTATAGACCCAATAATGTGTAAGTGATATAATTGGTTGATGATTAGAGAAGATATGAGAAAGAGTATTATTTTTAATGTCCTAATTGATTGCCACATATTGGGCTTGAAAAGTGAGTCTAATTTTTTTTATTTTTTAATAGCAATGTTCTTTTCAAGTACTTGGTTTTGAGGACCGGAAAGAGAAATCAAATTTCTTGAGAATAACTATCAATTTTCTTGAGGATAACTATCAATTTTCAATCTAGTATTGACTTTTGATGATTGGATTGGATCATTGGCCGGAAAGAGAAGATGGGTACTAGTTTGCTAGTGAGACTAAGAACCTAATTGGGAAAGCATGCACAACACAATTTTAGATAGAAAAGGTCACCTTCTAGCGTTGGCAGAGAGTAGTTAATCTTTTGGTCTAGAATAGGAACCCTAGTTTTAGGTTGAAATATGAAAGAAGTTTGCAAGAGTTGAGCCAACTCATAAACGAGCACAGGTACAAGCTATTGGAACTGTTAGTCAGAATACTCATAAAATTGGGTCGACGCCCTCCTCCCCTCAAATTGTACTTGCAAGTTTCCCCAAAGCAAGCAATTTTATTTAGCTTGCATGCATTGAGATAGAATCCTCCTATTTGTAGGAGGGTTGGGTGTTAGACACCAGCTTATTTGAGTCCATAATCTCACATGCTCAGGTAAAGACAAAGGGACACGTTGTTTGCTTATCCCCCAAATAAATAAATAAACTCAATAACTTGGAAGTATAGGCCACTAATACTAGTGGGGGGACAGTCCTCATAGGTCTCAGCAGTTGCAACGTGGCCGCATATGTTCTTCAGGTACAGGGGACATTAGGCATGTGATAGTCAAACTTGGATGGAGAATCGCTTGACCGATAAACCTAGCCAAGGATGTTGTGTGTGTCATCACAAGCAAGGGAGTTAGCATGCTTGAGTGGAGGTTCAGTCACCATATCACTTCAAGAACAACATAATGAGTTTTGATCCTTCATTGGCTTTTCAATGACTCTTCTACTATAATCAGAATGCTTGGTTTGTTAAATTGTAGAGCACCAACCCATCTAAAAGTTTAAGTTGTTAGTGAGGGTATAACTTTAATTGTTTATTCCGTAATGGGGCTAAACCAAACTTGTGGAAGTATTTAATAATATGCAATGAGACTTGAGCCATTAACCAAGGGGCTCTAGCCTAGTTGGCTATTCCTTCGGCCATGAGGTTTCTCCTAAGGGGAGGTCTTGAGTTCCACTCTTAGGAGTGGAATGGGAGGGCAAGATTTTCTTGCAAGGTGTATGAGCGTGAGTTTCAACTCCCTTGATTGCTAATCTAACAATTAACTACTAACTTTTGCCAATAAAAAAAAAGAAAAAAGAAAAAAAATGAGACTTGAACCATTAACTCATTTAAAAAAGCTTAAATTGTTAAGGAAATTGATTCAACAATTGATATCAAGCTATCTAACATTATTGAATAGAATTGAGGTTGGAGAACTATTTAGTCTTGTCGTATTTTTTAGTATTAAACCTACAAGCTTATTATTTTTTGTCCATGATTCAGTATTGTCCGAAATTCCTTGATTGTGTTTTAACATGAAATATAGTTGCCAGCGATGTTAACTGTTTCTATGAAACGTCTTTCTTAGCATTCTAAATTCTGTAGTGATTTTCTGAAAATTGCCTCGTCAACTTATTCATATCATGCCATATTTGTATCCCATGTCCATATCCTTCTTGGACATCTAATATGAGGATATGACTATGAGTATGTCTGATGCATCTCTCTGGATTGCTTGTATTGTATGAGCACTTCCTTAAAATGAACATAGTTTTCTTGCATGTTTTTATCTTTGCTTGAATAAAAATTATGACCGATAATATAATTTGATCAAACAAGGTTCTCAATTGGACTAAAGTTTGTATGGCTGTTACTATGAAAATAGGCGTATAAATGTTATCTGTTGCACCTTTCTATCAGGGGATGTTCCTAGAGTGAATGGACAGTTGGCTGTTTCTCGTGCTTTTGGAGATAAAAGCCTTAAATCACATTTGCGGTCAGATCCTGACATTCAAGATATCAATATCGATTCCAGTATTGAAGTTCTTATCCTTGCGAGTGATGGTCTTTGGAAGGTGATGCATCTTTTCTGTGAAATCTCACTGCATTTTTTTATTTTTATTTTTAACATTTGATAAGTTCAGGTAATGGAAAATCATGAAGCAGTTGATATTGCAAGAAGAATCAAAGATCCCCAGAAGGCAGCCAAGCAATTAACCTCTGAAGCATTGAAGAGAGATAGTAAAGATGATATATCTTGCGTTGTCGTTAGATTTAGGAGATAAAAAAAAAAAAAATTTAAATTGCAAGATATATTTAAAATAAGAAAATTGCCAGTGAGTTGCCAAAATTACAAAATTGCTAGGAAAACCATAAAGGGGAGAATGGAGAGCATCTCCTGTAAATTTTATGCTCTTTTTGTTGGTTTCTGTTCAATATTGTTTTGGTTTCTTCTTTTGAGTTTGTTAGCAATGTGATATATATCGTTTGCTAAATTGTGTGCAAGATTGAGCAGCTGTGTAGATGAAGAACATGGGTTTGATTGCTAGTAATAGGAATTTTTGTGATAAATCAATATGGTCAATTTGAAGGACAAAGTGGTGTCTGCGTTTTCTTCGAACGCAGGTTGTGTGAATGGATTGTTGCAAAAGGATTGTGTATAGCAGATGCTGAAACAACACTTCTAAAAATCTCTCAAAGTTTCAATTTTGAAATGGGACAAACTGACATCTTCTCATCTTTTCTGCTGAACTTAGGGCTGCATGAAATTCTGTTGGAAAGGAAAGGAAGGTGTGAGGGTTAAATGGGGTGCCATTGCCAGCAATTACTAATCACCCGGTTCATGTTTTAGCGATCTCGTTGTTTTATTTTGTTTTGTTTTGTTTTGTTTTTAGAACGGCCATTCGTAACTTCTCTTTTGTTATTATTTTTAAAGATTTACAGCTGAACAAACCTATCCATTGATTATATATTGCTCTTTATGATTAACATGCATGTCAAATTGAGATCGACCAGAGATTAAGCTCTCATTTGGACAGTGCTTCGGCTTAACATAAGATTTTATGTTATATTTGAAAAATGTGTGTTAATGGGAGAGAAGAGATAGCTGTGTGATAGGTAGTTTGGCTGTAAGCAATATTTTTTAATGGTTAATTTTGTAAAATGTGAATGAAAATTCTTAATTTTACACCAAATATAAATTTATGGTGCCCATTTTGTTAAAAATGAAAAATTTGTAAAGGTATGAACAAAATAAAAATAAAAAATAAAAAATAAATCAGGGGAAACTTTTGATTTAATTTTAAGAGTTTTTCTTGAGATTTTGGATTCAGACTTTTGAGTCAGTTTTGATTATGTATCTTTTTCAGTGAAAATTTTAATTAATTATCAAAAAAAATTTAATTTTTTTTTTTTATAGCTAGAAGTCTCTACTTTTATTTTATATTTTTTAAATAATTAAAAGCCAAATTTAAAAAAAAAAAATCAGGTTAGTTATTTTCTATCTCATGGGTTGCTTTAGGGCTAAGCAAAAAATTTGAAAAATGCGCAATTTGAACCGGTCTAGTTCAATTCGGTAGATTTGGACTAGTTTTGTGAATCTATGATTTAATTTTGGTTTGAAAAATTAGAGAATCAATTTCCGTTAATCGGTTTCAGATTTGGCTTCATGGTTAGATTAATATTGAACCAGACTATATTAACTTAAATCATATATATACTATACATCCAAATTCATACAATCCTACCCTCTTTTATATGATGGGTTGTTGCTATTCTTATTGCTATTTCTGTTGTTTTTTTAAAAATTATTTAGCATAATTTTGTAATTATTGTTGCTACGACAAAATATTTGTTTGATGAGAGTTTTATGTTTGCTACATGTTGAATAATATATTTATTTACTAGATATTATGTTTGTTTAAGTTAAGTTTCGAAAAATCACAGGTAAATTAATGTTAAAAATGTTATATGATTTTTCTTATAAATAGATTATATAAAACCATAAATCCCAACAAAGCCAAACTGTGTTTTAATGGTTTGGTTTGGATTGATTTCATGATTTAAATGGATTAATTTGATTCCAATTTTTGTGAAACCATAAACAATAATTGATCTTAATTTTGTCCCAAACCGAACCACTCTTGACTATGCTCACCCTTGCTTGAGTTGTTGTTGTTGCTTTTTTTTTTTTTTTTTTTTTAAAAAAAACAAATTATATCAATGGTTTCTGTAGTTTAAGACTTGTGTCACTTTGATCATTGACTTTTCAATTGTGACACATTTGATCTTAAATTTTGAATATTATTCTAAATAAGGATAATTGAAGATACCATTGCTTAATTTCAAGGGTAAAATCGTCAGTTTGATAAAATAGAAACTAATTTGACAAAAATAAATGTCAAAAAAATATTATTGAATTTTTAAAAATTATTTCTACACACTAAAGATAAAATTATATAAAATTGACATATCTTTTAGACATTTACTTATTTATTTTATCAAATTAATTTTTATTATGTGTTTAGATGATGATCAAGTAATGGGTGGTTATTTTTATTTTTATTAAATTAGTTTCTATTTTTTTAAAAATTAAATATGAAGTCAAATTTGATATCATAATTGAACCAATCTATTAAATCAAAAAATTCAAAATTAAAAACATTTCATATATTAAGGGGTTGTTTGGGAAGACCTAAATAAGTGCAGTTTTTGTCTTTTTATGAAAAGATGTGCAGAAAAGTAAAAAAGTGATGTGATGGAAAAAAGATAAAAAGATAGATTATATTGAAGTTGCCAAACTTGGCCTAAATATATCGATTACACATTAAAATTCTAACAACCATCTATTACATAATCGTCTTCCAAATACATAATAAAAATTAATTTCATAAAATAAATAAATAAATAAATGTTTAAAAGATATATTAATTTTTAAAAATTAAAAAATATTTTTTGACATTTATTTTTATTAAATTAGTTTATATTTTATCAAATTGAAGATTTTGCCCTTGAAATTAAATAATAATATTTTCAATTGTTCTTATTTGAAATAAGATTCAAAATTTAGAATCAAATATGTCGTAATCAAATACCAAAATGACACAAAACTATAAAAACCGTTAATATAATTCGTCATTTTTTTTAAAATTATAATAATTTGAAAACACAGCATTAAGTTTGAAGTCGTATTTTTAAAATTTAATAAATAAAAAATATTTTTAAAAAACTTATATCTGAAAAATAAGTTTGGTAACTAGGGTTTGATAAACAAACAAAGTGCACAGCCCTGATAGATCGTAATTACGGTATACGACACAGAAAACCCTAATAAATACTGAACTTGCAAAGGCCTCTCTAGGTCTCGGCTGAGAGAGCTCATGAGGCACGAACACAACGCTGTGCTCTCTCTCCCTCTGCCTCTCCCTCTCCCTCTCCGTAAATGCTAAGAGAGAGAGACAGAGAGCACTAATATATCTTCATATATGTATATGTGTTTGTTTTATGTGTGTATAATTTAATTGCCTCTTCTTTCGGCTGCAAGAGCAGAGATCTGATGATCTATTTCTTGATGGCTTTGTTCTGGAGGCATATATTCATCTCTCTCTTCCAAAGTTTTAGGGTTTTTTTATTTTTTTAATTCTTCTCTGGCCTCTCTTCCTTTGCAATATTCTGATATAATTTCAATCTTTCAATGTTTATTATTCTAGAAATTGTGATTTTTTTTTTTCCATCTCATTTTCTGGCTTGATGTCTCTGCCTATTGATTTCATTTGTAGATCTCAAGTTTTTTTATAAATTCAAAACTCACACAACTTTAAAAGTTATATTTATTTGTTAAGAGATTAATTGATTGCAAATTTTTTTTTTTTTTTTTTCTAAATTATTTGAGATAATATTGCCTCTCCTTTCAGCTTCAAGGGTATCAAATTCTTTGTTGGCTTTGTTCTAGAGGCATAAATAATTTTGTATCCATAGTATTAGGGTGTTTCGGAGAATTGGTGTTCTTCCATCTCTGGTTTCCCTGTCTATGGTATATACATTTTTGTTCTAGTATATTTTTAGGATTTATTTGTCTTTATAACCAAGTTATTTATCAAAAATGAGGAAAGTAAAGTGTAAATTTTGAATTTTGATTTTTTATGTAAATGTTGCATACTTCATTCTCTTTTTATAAATATTAACAAACTTTTATAAACTAAGTTTAAGTTCAATCTTTTTCTTAAAAAAAAATTTAGGTTGTCAGGTTTAAAATGTAGAAATATTTGATATAATTTTGAAAAAAATTCACCAATAAAAAAATCCAAATTAAATATAAAAAAAATAGCCCTTCAAAAAATATTCGAGAAGGCAACTTTACTACTTGCCAAATTGGTGCAGAATATTGTTTTCAAGAGTAATTTTCTTTTAAATTGGTAATAATTTTTTGGTAATGGAAATGATATGAATCCAGAATTTTTAATCTGGAAAATATTTCAAAATTTTATAAATTTAAAATTAATAAAATGTAAGTTACACAATAATGATGTTATTATTTTGAAAACATTGGGTGATCTAATTTTCAATGAAATTGGTATGGGAAGCATGGATCATGGAAATTGATTTAAAATTAATGAAATGTAAGTTACACCATAATGATATTATTTTGAAAGTAATGGGTGATCCAATTTTCAATGGAATTGGTATGGGAAACATGGATCATGAAAATTGATTTAAAATTAATGAAATGTAAGTTACACCATAATGATGATATTATTTTGAAAGCAATGGGTGATCCAATTTTCAATAGAATTGGTAACGGATGGTAGAAAAACAGTACATGGAAGGATATGAGATTAAAAAAAAAATAGAGAAATGTTTTTTTTCCCTATTTTCAGCCCTCCAAATCCCCCGAATGAGATAGGAGAGAAAGAGATGAGAGGGGAAGAGGAGTCTACCGTCGCCTCCGCCCGATCGTCGCCCTTCGTCGCTCGTCGCAGCTCCACCTCTGCCTCGCAGCCCCCGCCTCTCCCTCCTCCTCTTGCTTCTGCCTCCGCCTCCAACCCAATTTTGTTGGCCCCCTCCCCTCCAGTTCTTCTTCCTCCTCCTTCCTTCTCTTCCTCTGATTCTCTTCTGAAGAAGAAAAAAAAAAAAAATCAAAAACACGTCGTTTTTGAATTCGGGAGATTCGGGGAGGCTGTCTTTCGAACTACGTAGCACATCTCAAAAAAATATTTTGAAGATTTAATTCTTGAGTTTTAAAATTAACTCTAATGAGTTGGCAGTGGCTTCATCTATTGTGATGTGATGTTTTAGTCTTAGTTTATTTTATTTTTTTTCTTTATCATGACATTAGTGTTCTATTAGAACGTCCCAAATTAATATTCTTAATCATTATTGATGGGACAAATGAGGAATGAACTTTTTTTGACCATTGAATTATGACCATCTATTTTTGCCAATTAAATAGTAAACAAAAAAATATTTGGATAAATTATACTTTACTCTTTATGTTTGATCATTTTTATATTTTAAATTTTTTTAATTTAATCTTAAAAATTATTTTTGTTAAAAATTTGATAAAAAAATGCTAT